TTGCAACTGAGGTTTAAATGGGAAATCGGGATCTTAGTATCCCATCCAAACATCCTGCTGGCTGTAGTTACACCCAGAAATATCCCAAGGCTGAGTGATTTCCTCCGAGGTTTCCCTTTGGAGGTTTCCCAGGCCATCGAGGCTGTTCCTTCTTTGCAGACAGTGATTTTGTCTTTCCCAGCTCGGATCCTGGGATGGGATGTGCAAGACTCAGCTGGGAGGAAGCTCTGGCCTAACCCTTTACCACTAGAGGGCATTGACCACTTCAGGAATTTTATTTTCCTTTCTGGAAAAGCAGGAGTGGAGCATCCCTCCTGTAAAGATTCCCTGTGTCCTGTCTTCTGCCACGAAAAGCTGGAGTCAGATTGGCCAGGATATGTCATCCATGCGTCCAAGCAGATATTCTGGAAGGCCCAACCAGCTCTGATTTGTTGTGCTGTTTGCTATTTAGAGCTGGGAAAAAAAAATGTAAAACGTGTCAACACTAACACTGAACCCACTTGTTGTTGTTTTCTCGTGTCCCATAGGTTTGGGTTGGGTGTTCCTGTTATCCTGAGGAACTCAGAGGAAACAGAATCCAGCACAAGGGTACTGAAAAAGCGGATGAGACAAGTGAAGAATCCCTTTGGGTTGGAAATCCCTCGTCCTGCTGCAGCATCACTAACAAGTTAGTGGGTTTCTGATGTGATTTTTGTCAATTTGTGTGCCTGAACTTGGTGCTGTTTTCTTCACAGAATCATAGAATGCTCTGGGTTGGGAGGGACCTTAAAGATCACCCTCAGTCTTGCTCTCACCCTTTTCCTTGATCATAATTCCTCCCATCATTCCAGCAGAAATAATTTTTTTTTCACGGCTTACAGACGGGCTGTTTTAAGGAGCGAAATGTTTGGATATTTAAGTACAGCTTAATTCTCATTAATGAAACCCTTCCCGCTATTACAGATCTTTAAGTCGCTAAAACGTTTGCAAATTAGCAGCTCCTGTGGGCGTTGCTGTAAATTGAACAGAATCTATGGAATTTCGTTATGGAACATGTGCCGCCCACTGAATCTAAGCCCGGATCTCCAGCACTGTTTGCAAGTGCCCTATTTTTAAATAATAAATAGATAAATGGGAAATCTCCCTCTTTTTCTCTTTGTGCTTCAGTGGGAGCTGAATTTAAGTGCCTGTTTGGATCAGAGTTAAGTTCTTTCCTAGCGTCCTTGAGACCACCCACGTAAGGAAAGGAGATTCCTGCCTTCCTGCGTCACCGGGGAGCAGGAACCAGAGCTGAGCATCTTCCACCCACGCAGATCTGGGGCCTCCCACTGCACCAGGAAGGGCTGCTGCAGTTTTATCCCCCTCCCCCAGCATAAAACCCACCCCCCAACACAACAAACCCAGCAGCTGAATCTTCAGGTGGTTCGGATTTTTTTCAGGAGCTTTGGGCTCTTCTGCTCCTGTTGGTGTTTAGAAGCTGACGGGTTGGGTTCTTGATTTTTGGTAAAGAAATGGAGCACATGCATCTTTTTCTCCTCCCTTTGCATGACCAAGAGCCTCGTTCTTTGAGACCACAGGAGTTTTGTAGGCCAATGATCCAATTATTACCATTATCTGGGGAGGGAATGGACTTTGGGCCAGGGCTTGTGCTCTTGGGTCTGCCTGTGAGTGTGTAAAGCGTTACCAGAGGTTAAAATTTACCCTTCATAAAATGCATGTGCTACTTTTGTGAGCTTAATGAGCCGTTTTATCTCCTCACACCGTCTTCCCCATCTCCACTGCCTTCCATAAACACCAGACTGAGTCTGAATTGTTGGAAGGTTTGCTCATAATGATAAACAATTTATTTTATATATTAATGTTTATAATTTTAGGGGTGACCTAATTGCAGCCTTCCACTACCTGAAGGGAGCCTACAAGAAAAGGGGAGAGGGACTTTTTACAAGGGCATGGAGTGCCAGGACGAGGAGGAATGGCTTCAAACTGACAGAGGGCAGGGTTAGATGGGGTATTGGGATGGAATTGTTGTCTGTGAGGGTGGGGAGGCCCTGGCACAGGTTGCTCAAGGAAAGTCCAGCACCGCCCCATCCCTGGAAGTGTTCCAGGCCAGGTTGGACAAGGCTTGGAGCAACCTAGGATAGTGGAAGGTGTCCCTACCCATGACAGGGGGTGGAACAAGATGGTCTTTAAGGTCCCTCCCAACCCAAACCATTCTGGGCTTCTGTGACTTTGTGAAGTTGTTTCCTGGTTGTTGCTCTTTGAGAAGCTACACTTGGCAATTCCAGAATTCCCTCGTGTGGCTGAGCTCCTGAAATCCTTCTCTTCTGTCTCGCAGAGGGTGTAACCCTGACACCTGACTGCCTGGAGGACTGTGTCCTCACCTGCTACTGGGGCTGCAACGTCCAGAAACTGCACGAGGCGCTGCAGAAACACGTCTACTGCTTCAGGATAAAGACTCCTCAGGCATTGGAGGATGCCCTGTACAACGAGTACCTCTACAGGCAACAGTACTTGTATCCTTTTCTTTTTTACCCTTTTCTGTTTTGACAGAGTATGTTGATTTTTTTGGCGGGGAAGGGGGGGGGGTTGAGACTTCATGTGTTTTGTGAACAAATACCACGGCAAATATTCTGTGTGCAGACGTCAGGTTTGGCTGCAACTGCAGCCACGCCGATTGTTTTCCCTTGACGCAGACAAAGCATTAAAAAAAATGACAAGGAGGAGAAATACTGCCAGTTACCAGAAGATGCTCAAGTTGTGGATTTTGGCCCCGTGCCCAGATCTCGCTATCCCTTGGTAGTGCTGCTGACGCTGGCAGATGAGGAAGACAGAGAAATTTATGACATTGTAAGTGAGAGCAGAATATATTTTAGGGTCACTGTGTTTGAGGCCTGAATGTTTCAGGAGAGAGGCTGGAACAAAGCAGCTTCCCTTCCCTGTGCCTCGCTTGTCGCTGGTGTCCCCAGAGCAGCGTGGAGTTAAAAAAAAAA